TATATATATATATATATATACACACACGCTTAAGAAGTTGTACCCTATGTTGTTTTATATGTTTTTAATTGAGAGAAAACAATAGGTTTGGAAAAAAAAAAACTATTTTCATATGTCGTGGGTTAGAAAAAGATGAGAAAAAAAAACAAGAAAAAAAAAGATTGATGTGACAATGAGCTGAGAGGATTGATTTTGTTCCTACCATCGAAATAATGAGTCCCATAAGTATAACTTTAGAACACTTGGAGCAAATATTCAAAATAATATTGTAAATGTAATATATTGACATGGTTTAATAACTTAAATAGAATTAAAAACAAACAGAAATAATATATCCAATGAGATTTCTATCAAAATTTGTAATGATTTTTTGTTCATTGCAACATCATAACATGAATTTTCAACAATGAAGTTGAAAAAAACCCGAGATTACACAATAAGATGGATGATTATTTAGTGTCATACGTATTAAACAATATTATTAAACAATATTAACAACGATACAATTATAAACTTTTTTCAAAATATGAATACTCATGGTGAAATATTTCATCTTAGGTAAAACTTTACTTCCAATAGATGGTAGGTATTATTGACAATGATAATTAAACTTTTCCCAAGATGTTAAGCAACCTAATTCAAAGTTTGTACTTATGCATGATGATTTCACTTGTTCAATCATAGCATTCTAATAAAACCCATAATAGCATAGCATATTAAATACTTAGTAATTCACACAAACAACAAACCCCAAATTGCAAAAAAACAAAAATGCCAAATAAATTTGCAGGCAACCTGCAAAAATATATCATAACAGATATAGCTTCATGTTCAACAGCCTTCACAAAAACTATTGTGTTTTTCATGTCAAAGGTATATGAAACAAGGCCCAAAAGAATCATGTCAAAACTTTTTCTGTTTTTTTTGCCATCAACACAACACAACACAACACACGAAATAAAATAAAAAACCAGCAATAAATTTGTTATTCACTCCATCTCTCTGTGTTCTTATTTTTGTTTTGGTATTGAAGAGATGAGTTGGATTAAACCAGAATATTTTTTTGATTATAATGATTTCATTATGAAATCAAGGGAGTGTAGCTCTTAACTCTTTCCTGTCTGCTCCAAAAGACTGCAACACATGATCAAAAAAGTTAAATTAAAAAAAAAAAACAAATTAATTAACTAAAATCTCCAAATTTAAATAAATAAATAAAATACCTCAACCCCATATCCTTTACGGTAAACATTGGTGAAAAGTTCAGTCTCATCTGGCATTGGGCTTTCCTGTAATTTAAAAAGATAATTGTAAAATGAGTAAAGTTATATATACTTCAAGAAATGTTTATTATTTTGTCATTATTTAAGAGCCAAAATGAAAAAGAATGATACCTTTGCCTTGGCAATGGCTTCATCAACTTCTTTTCTAGCTAGCTTCTCTATATCCTGGAAAAAAAATATCCAAAAGAAAAAAAATTGAAATGGGGCCCACAAGAAAATATAAAGATTTAATTTATGAATCCAAGTATAAATAAACTATCACCTTCAGTTCTTTTTCATTAGCTATATCATGAGCCAGGATCAACTTCCTTATTCTTTCGATAGGATCACGTTCCTAAATGAGATAAAATCAGTAACAAATGTTTTTTTTTATGAAATGATTATTTAAGAGATAAAATAATAAAAAAATGAATTAAAATTTAACAAACCTGTCTGACACCGCTAATTTCATCACGGGTACGGTAGGTGCTACCAGGGTCAGACATAGAGTGACCATGGTACCTGTAAGTGTCCATTTCAAGAATCTGAAACAAAAAAAAAAAAATCAAGATTATAAAAGTTTTTAGTTCTTGATAATATTAATAATACAATCTGACATGAAAATTAAAAAGGAATTTTGACTACTCACAATGGGTCCGTTCTTTAAGGCGTGTTCTTTTGCAAATTTGCAAGCTTGTTTCACTGCAAAGGCATCCATTCCATCTACCTGCATAAAGAAAGATATGAATCTTGATCATTAACAAAACAGAAGATTGTGGCTTTCATTGTAAAGAACTAAAGATGGTGGATTGATGATACAAGTATAAGCTATTATAATGTTTGTAGCTCGTAACAACAAAAAGACTAAACTGACCTTCAATCCAGGAACATAAATCCCCACGCTTGTAATAAGCAGGACTCTTTGCAGCTCTCCATTCAGCTGTACCCATACCATCTGCACACCAATCCATGAAATCTCAATTGCATACAATGTGCAAGTTTGTAATCTGTGTAATGTTGGTTTACTACAGCTATATATTGTGATATTACCAAGATATAAGTATAGAAATGAAAATCTGCCACACAGATCCAGCTTACAAGAACCCTCAAATGGCAATTAGTGCTCAATGCCCAATAATTGAACACTTGTCCAAACCAACAAACTCGTTCAATTTATAGATCTTACAGTAAGTACACATCCACATGTATGAATTCCTAAACTATACATAACTAGTCACACAATGAGGATCAGTTCTTATGTCTCTAGATGATGTTTATGAGTGGACTGAATAAGAGCAAAAAAGTCACCAAGTCTATTGATAGTTCCCAATAAAGAAGCAGAAACAGAATCAATCATGGAATTTAAGGAGAAAATAAAGTACTTACAGTGATTATTCTCGCATACCAAAATGGCAGGTAGGTCCCAAAAGAGCAGCCATGTTAAGAGCTTCAAAAAGCTGTCCTTGGTTAGCAGCACCATCACCATACATGGTAAAAGTGACATGATCTTCCTTCCTATACTTCTGAGCAAACGCCAATCCACATCCTAACGGAACTTGAGCTCCAACGATCCCATGTCCTCCGAAGAAACAAGCATCTTTCTTATAAAAATGCATCGAACCTCCTTTCCCCCTTGAACAACCCCCTTGACGACCCATAAGCTCAGCAAAACTCTCAAGTAGCGTCCCACCACGCCCTAGGAAGATACAATGGTCACGATAGGCGGTGATTATACAATCCTTCTTCGTAATCGCAGCCTCCATCCCTATACTCACAGCTTCTTGTCCATCGTACAGATGGCAAAACCCTCGGATCAACTTGGATTTGTAGAGAGAGTCGGCGGCGATCTCCATACGGCGCATAAGTGCCATATCGGTGAAGAAAGTCATGAGTTCCTTAGGAGTAGTATCGATGGATCTGGACGGAGGTTCGCAGTTGTGGCCGGTGAAGGGGACACTAGTTTCGATGGTGATGGTGGTGGAGTCATCGGTGGAGAAAGGGCGGCGGTGGAGGAAAGAGGAGGATGAGGCGGTGGAGAGAGGCTTGAGGAGATTGGAACTCCGGCGAGCCAAAGCCATGGGTGGTTTTTGGCCGATGGAGAGATCGAAACGTTAGGTTTGGTGAAAGGGTGGAGAAGGACCAAAAGAGAAGAATGAGAGAGTAAAGAATATATTGGAAATGAATTTTATAAAGTCGGCGATTTGTAAAAAAATAAAATAAATAAATTATCGGTGGCACCCCGCCCCTTGGGTCAATTGTGGGCTGCTGCTACTGGTCCGAATCCGACTCTTTGTTGTGTTTCGATGATATTTTGTTGGCTCTCTATGTCAAAAGGGAATACTAATTGTTCTTAATTTTTAATTTAGGTATTGAAGATTGAAATTTGACAAAATTGCAAAAATGTCCTGGTATGTATTTTTTGGGGTTTTTGTCCAAATCCCAACCTTTTTGGCTTTGTGGTTTTTTGGCCATGTTTGTACGTAGATTTGGTCCCTCGAAAAATTGAAATGACTAAATTGCTCTTATTAGATATATTTTCCATTTTCTTTTTTTATAAGTATTTTTATATATTAAATAAAGATAGTCTCTCTCTCTCTCTCTTTTTCACACACACACATACACACACACCCACCAGACCAACTTCTCCCCTCCCTGCCTTCTTCTTCATTTACAATCAAGAACACCCACCGGAGGTGGAGCTGTTTTCCGGCCACCAAGAAACACCGCTGCCACCATCCATCTTTCCACCTCTTTGAATCACATTCTTAACCCCAAATTGAAACTCGGAGGAATGGTGGGTCGCAGGTCTGGGATTCAAAAAAAAATCGAGACCCACCGTAGGTCTCTTGGTCTCGACTGGGCATACCGACGATGGAGAATACAAGAAAGGGGTGGCGATGGATTACCAGCGGTAGTAGGCGACGGTGGCGGACTGCAGCGACGGTGGAAGGGAAGCGACGGCTATGGGTGGATGCACTTGGTAGTTGTGGGCGACCTTGCTGCTTCGTTTCTATTGGCGGATGCTCGGTGAGGGGCCAAGAGGAAGCAGCAACGACGATGGCGTTTGGTGGTGGTGGGTTACGACAGGATGGAGGCGGAGGGACTGCCACCGTCGGCTGTGGTGGTCCTCTTCTCCGGTGAAGTGAAAAAACAGTGTAGAATAACGAGGGGGAGGTGGTAATCGGTGGTGCCTGGTAGCCTTCTCCGGTCAGTGACATAAAAGGGAGAACCACGGTGGTTCTTGGTGGTTACACAATAGCAACACCAACCTTGGTGGTGGTGTTTCTCGGTAGTGCAGGAAGAGGTTGCAGGTGGTGGAGGAAAGAGCTCCGGCAAAAACAGTGGGGTGGGGATGGTGGTTTCCGGTGGGGGAGGAGGTGGTGGCAGTGGTGATGCTATGGTGGAGTAATGGTGGTTAAAGGTGGAGAAAATGGGAGGAGGGTAAAGGAGGTTTTATGGATTTTTTAAGAGAAAGAGAGAGAGAGAGAAAAAAAAAGAGAGAGAAAGAGAGTGAGAAAGAGGTGGGTCCCATAATTTTTATTAATAAAACTTTATATTAAATAGGAAAAAATATAGAAAATGTATCAGAAGGGTATTTTTGCCTTTTTAATTTTACGAGGAACCAAAACCACAAACAAAGTAACTCAAAAGAATCGTCAATCCAAAAAAGTCGAGGTTTGGACCAAACCTCTGAAAAAAATGCATACCACATGGACCATTTTTGCAGTTTTGTCTTGAAATTATTTAGAAAATATTTGTATTTTAGATCGTGGCAAATATGGGAGGAAAAAAAAAGGTTTTTAATTCAATTATTTGGAAAAAGAAAGTAAGCAAATGTTAAGTTTATACTTTAAATTATTTTAAATCTTAGGAATATCAAAATGTGGAGTATAAGACCATCTTTCAACCACTTTCATTTTTTTCCCCAAAAATGAAGTAAAAAATAGGGTAAATAGTGTTTCATCTCCAACCTCAATCCATTTTTTTCCCCATTTGTTATCCCAAAAAGTATATTCCTAGTATATTTCATTCTTCCAACTTACATAGATTGTCAAACACAACCCTTCTACTAATTTGGTTTTAACAAATATATAATCTAAATTTTTTTTTCATTACAATAATATTAAAAAAATAAGATTATATTTATAACACATTTATAAACAGATGGACTAAAACCAACAACGCAAAGTTCATCCAAATTTTGGGAGAAATGAATAGTATAACACCGTATTTGGAGTAATACTATTCATATTCCCCAAAATAGGGGAATAAATGGAGGATGGTTGGAGAAGAATTGAGGAAAAAATGGGGGAAAAAAATGGAAAATGGGAGTGGGTTGGAGATGATCTAAGGTGTATTTCATTATACTCCCGGTATCCATAAAATGAATAATAAAGACGAAGATGATGGTTTTTAGAAGTTATTAGCATAAAACTTTAATAAAAAAAGTAAAAATTATAACATAAACTATAAGGGTAAAATTAGTGAGTGTTAGAATGAATACAATGTTTGATTAGGTATCTAAGCTCATAACTATATTTGGTATGTACTTGACCCGGTTGTAGCATGGTCCTTTTGGATTGCCTTCACCAGAGCAACTTGACTGGATGAATAATGGAGAAATAGGTTATTATGGTTTATTAATATATTATATGAATAATATATTAAAAGAGAAATCATATTTCTTTAATTAATATTGGTCAAGAATTAATTTAGAATTAATTTTGTGATCAAAAGATATTAATTAAACTTGGGGGACTGATATTGTAATTATTGGATAATTGCAAAGTGGGCTGAGGAAACCCTAAAGATAGGGAGTGGACGAAATCCTTATGGATAGCCCATAAGATTTCGTCCAAGGAGGTATTCTGGAAGATTCTTATGGGGTGCTTAGAGTCTAAGCAACCAGATAAGTAGTTGACTGAAACCCTAATTCCTCACCTATATAAGGAGCCTCTAGGCATCAGTTTTCGGCTACCACAACCCTAAGAAGAGTTCCAAGAGACGAAATTACATTCCCCTCTCTCTCCAAGATTCTCCAATTTGCTTTGGTGCTTGTGATCTATTAGAGGCACAACATTTGAGGTGCTAAGGTTCTCAAAAGCTCAAGATCTTCTAGCTACAATCAAAGGTAACTTTCTAACTTGTTTATTAGATGTTAATTTTGTTTTATTGTATGCTAGATTAGGGTTTGTAAGTCTTGGACAATTTTGCATGTACAATTAGAAAAACTAGATCCAAGCATTAGGGTTTGCATGAACACCATAGGAATGTTGTTTTGCTCATAACCCAACATACAACAATGATCATAATTTATGTAACTCTAAAAAAAATCTCGAAAATATCCCCTTTCCAAAACACTTTTCTCTTTAAAAACATTTCTCTCACATCAGGACAATTATAACATATCTAAACACACACAATACCGATAAAAGACGATCTCTATGTGTCGTGTACATCTCTCGTACGCGTCACGTTCGTTTTAATTGTGTCATGTTCTCTTCTAACCATAGCATCATACTTTCGGGACGCGTCGTGTTCTCATTCAACTCTAATATAGTAGGTTACCAACTTTGGTAATGGCAACGTACTTTATCGTCTTACGTCAATTGGTATGCGTCACGTATTCATAGCAACTCTTCAACAGTTAGCAAATCTTTTATTTTTACCCTCTTAACCACTAATACAACTTTTAATGGTTTAAACTCCATTCTAGTCGGTTTCAAATACCACAACTTTTATCAACACCCTTCACAAGGCAAGATGTTAAATTTTCTTAACATTTATAAGAAAGACCAAAATACTTTTATGGTCAAAATTTTCCTTTTAACAAGCATAATAGAGCTTATAAAACAGATATTACATTATATAGATATGATGGTTAAAGTGGATAGCAACCACTCGAGTTTGTGTGACAAGAAAGTTTCACTGAAACTACTAGGTAAAAAGTATTATGCTCTGTAGTTGCAACTTTGTCTGGTCTTCCACAACCAAAAATGAATATTAAATGGTTGTATTGGCAAGTGTCTCGGTACTTTGAAGGTTCGTCTTATGATATGTGGTTGCAGCTTGGTTTGATAATCCACATCAGAAACGAGGATTCAGTTATCTGTTTTGTGTACGATATATATAACGACTGGGAAAAGTTCTGGCTAGGAAAGGATTGGTACTTAAGTGTGTCCATTGTGTAACACTTCTCTTCATGGGAATCCTTTGAAGGGTGTAATGCTTACAGGTTTGGTGCATATTTTTATAGTATACAATACTTTTGGGGATACGGATACAATGTCAAAATACAGTCCAATGAGGTTCGATGTAAAGAAATATGATGGAAGAATCAACTTTGGTTTGTGTCAAGTTCAAGTCAAGGGTGTGTTGATTCAGTCTGGGTTACATAAGGCATTGAAGGGGAAACTAGTCCTTGTTTCCAGTGGTGAATCAAGCAAAACCAATAAAGTCAGCGATGAAGAATGTAAAGATTTGGATTTAAGAGTTGCAAGTGTGATTTGTTTGTCCCTAGCAAAGAATGTTCTTGCAAATGTGTGTGAGATATCAATGATAAAGGTTCTTTGGGAGAAACTTAAGTGATTTGTATCAAGGGCAAAGGCATCTTGAATCATTGTATCTCAAGGAATAATTTCATACCCTTCGTGTCAGAACTGGAGGCTACTGGAGTAAAGGTTGAGATGAGGATAAAACATTGAGGCTTATATTATCTTTGTCATCTTCCTATGAGTATATGAAACCCATCCTGATATATGGGAAAAAGACCTTGAAGTATGAAGTTGTTACTGGAAACTCTTGTCCGAGGAGAAAAAAATGAAGAGTAGCAACCATACTTCGTCAGTTGGAAAGACCTAGATTTGGGAAGTTAACAATTTACTTTCATTGACATGTTTATTATACCATCTTACTTTCATTTCATATATTACAACATTTTAATTGGTACAATCTATCTGATTATATAAATGGTACCATGTTTGATTTAAAATGTTATTTTTGTAGGGAGAAGAAGTGTTGTTTATTGTTTTTTTTTGGCATTTGAGGATGTTGGATTAAATGATGATAAGGTATGGATGGATGGACATAAGATTTTCATTGTGTATAACTAAAAGTTAATAATAATAATAATAATTATAATAATAATTTAATTGTCAAAAAAGTGGTTTGAGAGATAGGGCACTAGTTCCAGAAAACTATACTTGCATTTGGAACTGGAACATATCTGCTACATGTTAGATCTTTTCAGAGTGCATATATATCTTTTTTTAGATCCCTTTGATAATTATGGTATTTTATAGAAAAGGCCAATTTTATTTGTTTTTTTTTCAAATCCCCCTCTTTCTCTCTTGCTCTCCTTCAGCCCATCCCTCTCCTCCCTGGTCAAACCCGTTCACTCCAACCCGCTACGATTCCCTCCTCTTTATATAGTGCAACTTTTGAAAATCTTGCGTTTTTATTTGGTAATATAGTCTTTAATAATGTCATAATGTATAATTATGATAAATATCTATTTGAAGGAAGCAACGCTTGATCATACGTGAAGATGGTCACATTTTTTGGGCATGTTTATTTCCCCAACTTAATCAACATGCATTTCTCAATTGTTACACAGTGGTATCTACTTTGAATTTGTTTATGCAACTGCTTTGAATCTATATCATATTTTAATAGAGTAAAGGCGTGTTCGGTATACAAGATTTGGGAACTTCTAGCTTTTAGTTATTAAGAAAAACCAGGAGCTACTAGTTAGCTCTTAGTTTTTGATTAAACAAAAAGCTTCAAATCTAAAAACTATTTAAAATAGCGTTTAACAAAAGAGAAGTGATTCGTACACAACAATTTATGTTTTATGAAGTTGTACAATGCAATACTTTAATGCACAAATTGTTGTGTATGGAGAAAAAAATTTGTGTACGAATCACTTCCCAAAAGTTCTTTTATATTTTTACAAATTGACTTAGTTACCATTTTTTCAGTATTATGTTCTTATTTTAAATTTTACAAGAATGTCTTTTTATGTAATTTTATAGTATGTTTTAAAAAACTTTCAGCTACTCTTACCGAACACTCATATACAAATAAAAGATATACTCTCAGGTACCAACTTTCAGTTTCCAACTACAAGATAGTTTTGTCGCGCAATAGATGCTACTACCACCAATGAGATATTTCACATATATTAGTTATTGTTTAGATAATTATTTGACGATGACAAAATGAAGAATATGATAGATCAAAATAATATCGTAGAGATTTATAAACCCAAACCTTGCTTCATTGACAACCAGTAGTGAAACCCGATTCTCTCAAACCTAGATATACAATTGTGATTCTTTCCGTGGATATATTGCAACAATTATATATATATATATATATATATATATATATATATATATATATATATATAGAAAGAGAGAGAGAGAGAGAGAGAGGTAGGTTCAAATGTTTCTCACATCTATTCTGTGTTAGAATGCACCAATAAGAATTTAGTAAAATTTAATTATTATTTAATCACATAAAGATAGATATTAAATGAATTTCATAATTATATGTATATTAAATGATATCCATACATATAATTCTTTTTTTTATGGAAACTAATTAAATTTATCATTAATGTCAACAATAATATTATTTCAGAATAAATTCGTATCTAGAAAAATAAGATTGCATTCTAGCAGAATAAGAGTGTATTCTAGTAGAATACACTCTCGTTCTTCATATTCAATGCAACTTTATTGTATTTTAAGTGAGTGAGTCCTGAAACAAAACACGAACCCATACATAAAAATATAGATGCGAATTCATTCTGAAAGAATGTTATTACTGACATTAATGACGAATTTAATTAGTTTCCACGACAAGATAATTATAACTATGAATATCATTTAATATACATACAATCATAAAAATCATTTAATATTTATATTTATTTAATTAAATAATTATTTAATTTTACTAAATTTTTATTGGTGCATTATAGCACACAATAAATGTAAGAAACACGTTAACCTAGCTATATATATATATATATATATATATATATATATATTATATATATATATATATATATATATATATATATAATAAAGTAAAAAAACATACTAAAATTGTTAGGCATGCAATTAAGTAGTCAAATTGTTATGCTTGTATAAGTCTTGCAACTTAAACCACTCAAAATATTTGTTTGTTATTATTAGCTGTTTTTTATTATTAGGAAGAATGTTTAGTACAGTTTTCTTTGGCTATTAGATCACTGATTTTCTTTGTTTTTAAGAGTCATTTGAGGTGTTTTTTTTTCTGGATAAATATTTATATTATCATAATTCAAAATAGTTTTTGTTATCATTAAGTATCTTTTGGTTATTCGGAACTCGGAAGATTTCGTAGTACATTTTTCTTCAAATATTTATTTATTTCTTATTAAGTTATATCTTAAATTAAGTATAAGGGTTCCATACTAGATAGAGGTGACTGGTGAGTAATATTTTATGTTATTTTAAATGCATATAATATCAATAGAGAATTAAAAAAAAAAAACAATTTCATGAACATTGTGAATTGTCGAAAGACATAGCATGAAATGACTACAAATTGAGTAACATTGTGAATTGTCGAAAGACATAAGCATGATATGTACAATAAACTACACCATAAACCATATTTGAACCGCTCAAATGACTACAAATTTACTTATGCTCAAACATGGAACACGTGCAAAACACTAAAAGGTAGCTTAAACACAAGTAAAATGTTTCTTCTACTTCTATATAGCTTACAAAGATACATAGACAATCATAGATAAACCCAAAAAAAATTAAAAAAAGTATAATTTTTTTTTTTTCAAGATACATAGACAATCATAGATAAATCCAAAAAAAAAATTAAAAAAAGTATAATGTTTTCTTTTCTTTTTTGCATTTATTGTTATTCAATTATCATAAATCTAAAGTCTTAAGTATAGGTAGTCTAATGTGAATTAAATTGGGAATTTGTTTTTATATAGCTCAATAATTTGCATGATTAATGTCACTAGGGTATGAAGTATGCATCTCATCTTCTGCATGTAATTAAAGTGAGAATTTATTGTTATATGTACCATTGTTACAAATGGAATTACATTTAAAAGGTATATGTAGTTATTACAAGTTGATTTAGTGAAGGTTGTTGCCTAATAAATGTATGAATAAGGGATTGTCATGCTATCAAAAATATATATTTTAGTTTTAACAACCAAAAACTAACACAAGAATTTTGTTTTTGGATCACACGATTGTTAATTGTGTAATAAAGGATACGTTTTCGTTCCAAATTTGTTACTCAATTTATTCCAAAATAACTGAAAACAGTCTCAATTTAAATCTTTAAAAAATGAATGCATTTTTACTTTGTGGGTAAATGTTTATCAATAGTAATCATTATAAAATATTATTTAACATTTTTTATTGCACTTTTTTCAAAAAAAAAAAATTATATGTATCAGATTAAACACATGTACCAAAATATGTATAAAATAAATAAATAAAAACTTTATACTTATTTGAAAAGAACCACAAATATTTTATTCATACATGGATTTGTCATCTGTGTTTAGCTGCCTCAAATTGACTAAAAAAAAAACTATCTATGCACAGTGACAATTTATCATCCCACTAAAAAAGGTCCTAAAAATTGCAATTTTCAAATACTTGGTTCCTTAATTTTAATATTCTTTCATAAATATAATGCCAACTTCACTCATCTAGTAAAAAAAAGTCATCTTAGGCCACGTTTGTTTGTTCTTTTTATTTTCTAAAAATTTATAACATTTCATTAAAAAAAGAAAACACAAATACAATGAAATGTTACTTGGCAAGTTACCCCAAATTGATTGTCAATTTTTTTGATAAAAAATTATTCGATTTGTGAAAGTAGATTCTAACTCTATTGCATTTGGATCCATATATTCAAGTTCGAGGTGTAGCCATCACTATTATTAATGTTTGGTGATTTAGGTCAATTAAGTCAAAGAAGTAAAATAAAAAGTTAAGCTAAAAAAGAAACAATAATTGGGTCGAAAGTATATATAAATGCTTACAACCTTATAAATGTTTTACTTTAAAAAAAAAATCAAATTGTTATTTTAACTATATAGCTTCTTTTACAATCATATTTCATGCATTAATTATAAAAATTAAAAATGGATTTCAAAAAGCACTTACAACTTAGGCGTACACATGAAGAACCATTATGAATAAAATAAATTTTTTTCTTTGCAGAAAAACCACTAATAATTTGATTTTTTTTTTTTTTTTTTCATTTAAGTCATTATTTACATGCTAAAACTGGTTAGTAGTTTACAAATGCTTACAAGAAATTCAATTTTATATAGATTTCATAATGAATGGATTATGGGCCACAATAAGTTTATAATTATAGCAATTAAAGATGCTGAATGAATCAGCTGCCTCTTTTTATGCCTTCAGGGCTGAGTTCATATTTCTATCACTCAGTCTTCTCCTTTGTGCTGCACAGGTATAATGTACCATAAATAATGAAGGGCATTATGGGAATAGAAAACTAATTAGAAGTGATTCAAAAGGTAAAAAAGATACCAACCAACACGAAGGATTTCATTCAAGTATTTGCTTTTATCCATCAACCACCCATTCCAGTTGTAAATTATATTCAAATGTGTCACGTAAACTGTAATAATTAATCTGGTGACTCCTGAATTGTGTTGAACATGCATGCACCTACACTTGAAAATTATACACAACAGTTACAAAAATAAAAAATCCAAGGACATTTTGGTCTTAAAAAAGTTATTGAACCAAAATAAATACCTATAAATTTCATCCAGCAAGTTCACTTATTGGTGGTCGATCCATGACATTGGATGCAGCTGTCGCATTTCTTTGTAGTTGAGGGTCAATATCAGGCAATTTAGGAATCTGAATCCATTACAAAAATGCTAATGTTATTACACTACACTACAAAACATAACAGAAGGAGTAATGTGGATGTGACAAAACTTTAAATAATTTCTGTCCCGCCTAAAAAGGTGAGACAAGGACTCCATCTCTGATAAAAAGACAAAAATGCCCTCCTCAAGTATGATGTACCTGAGCTAAAACATCCATTGTTCTGCGTAACAAGCGAGCTAGATCGCCTTCATCCATAGCACAATCCATCATTATTTCCCTCCAAGTCAAACCAGAAGCCCAGGCTTCAACCATCCCAGAAAACTGGCTATCCAGACAGCATGATATCTATAATGCCATTGCCATTGCCACGTCATCTCATCTTTATCTTTATTTAATAATAAAAACCAAAACCATAACTTTTTCATATTTTATAACATCTAATAAACTAAACTAACCTTGACATCGTGCTTTTCTTGAAGTTGTAACAGCGATCTTCTTTGCTCATCAAGAAAGTTTATCACTTCCAAAACAGTGCTTGAGGGCTCATATATATAACTGTCCCAACAAAATTGTAAAAAATTAAATTACAAAAATGGTCACTGTCCTTTCTGATTTCTACCATGTTTAGTCCAAATCCAAAATCCAAATCTTCTTTCACTTATGGTCCTCATTTCAAGGTTTCATATCCATTTTTGGTCCCTGTTTTAAGTGAAATGCCTATTTTTTGTTACTGAGGGACCAAAAATTGGAATTTACTGAAATATAGAAACCTGTTATTTTTGGAAGGTCTAACTTTGATTCCTTCAGAAACAATGCTTCCACAAACAGCTGCCAGCTGTGCAGGTTTAAGATCCAGTAATATCTTATTTCTAAGAACCATTGCAATCCAGAGTTCATTTTCTCCTCTAAGAGCAGCAGCAGTTTCACCAAGAGGAAATATCATATGTGTGTTGATATCTAAAGCTCTTATTTCATGTATCACACTGCTCACCTGGATTTTTAATTTAAAAACCATATAAACATTGGATTCATAAATCAAAATTATTATTATTATGTTACAAGATTACCTGAAGAAACTCCTTCCATCCAGATGGTTCGATCTGTTCTATACGAGTCAACAAACGAGTTGACCTTGCTTTTAGGCGTCTGATCTTTTCTTCAGTGAACTTAGCAACATCAACTATTTTTTTATATTCTCTAAACCCTTCTGTCCTTGCTATCTTTTTCTTTAAATGAGAAACTTTATTCCTTTGATTCTTGTAAGATTCTACTGCTTCATAGTATGCTTGTGAATATTGCACAACAACCTAACCAACAACAAAATTACATTCTTTTTTTCAATTCCATAATCCATAGAAATTAGTTTTGATATAATTTATAATTACCTCATTGTCCTCTGAAAGACTACTTAAAACTGGAACATTTAAACTCCATGACCATGTCTCAAGTGATCCATCCATGCACCATATACCTCCAAGTTCAGATTGACTCAGCTTCTGCCACTGCATCTCACCATTTTCAAGAAAAGCAGTCATAATTTCTCGAGGTAAAGCATCGCCATTTTTCAAGGGTAAATTGGGAAACCCTGTTCTATATACTGTTTTGATACACCTCTCAGTGAAAAGATACCATGTGTTATCTGAGCCAAGTGCCACATAGTAAGATGGTTTTGTATTGGTTTCCAAATCGCCTTCTGTTGTTACTTTTAAAGCAAAGGAATTATTCTCAACAACCTGTAAGCAGCAAAGTGAAGTGAGAATAAAAAATGTGATCTTGATTCTTGAACAAGTAGAGTAGAAGTAAATCTCATGAACACATACCATGTTCTTGAGTTTTGAACCTTTCATGGAGTCAACATCACCCAAATAAACAGCAGGGACTAAATGTTTGACTCCAGCATTATCATGATACTGTAAGCATAAAAAGGGTAGATGTCCATCTTCCAACTTTTGCAGAAATGGTCTCAAGGAAGACATTCTTTCCATTTCCATTTTTCTACGTAGCTCTGTTCTAACACGCTTTTCTGCCTGAAAAAAAAAAAAAAAAAACTGTTAGTGATGATTAATTAAGGAGCAAATTACAAAAATGGTCCCTGTGCATTAAAATCTTTTTCAATTTTGGTCCTTATTTCTAGGTTTCATATCGATGTTTGGCCTGAAACCTTGGAAGAAGAACCAAAATCGATATGGAACCTTGGAATGAGGACTAAAAGTGAAAAGGATTTCAATTCTGGACTCCTTAATGAACACACTATGAAAAAGAAAAGGATAAGAAGGCATAATTACTCTGAGTTCTTCCTGCAAATCTGCCATTTCTTTGTAAGCTGATTTTGATAAAATATTCTTGCTTTTCCTGTCAATAGCTTCATCACTGATTTCAGAAGTCAAAAGCTGAATCTCTTTTTGTATTTGATCAAGCTCTTGTTGTGCAGCAACCATAACATTACTCCCTACATAATTTCCAAAACTTTGTTCCACCAATTTTCTTGCTTCTTCTAGTGTACGTCCAGCTCGATGAACTTCCATTCCATCTGTTTCACTTACTCTTTGAGTAACTTTTGCACCCTACCTACCACAACTCTTCATCAGTCATCTCAACAACAACAAAAAAGAAATATATCAAGAACAAGAGATGATTTGGCATACATACAGCAAGAAGATTGAGAACCATTCCATATGAAGCTGTAAACTGTGATACGAGTGGTTGTAATCCAGCAAAGAGAAGTTTGCAGCATTCTTCAGCACCTTCATATGGAGTTTGAACAACAACAGCATGTCCCCTTTTATCTATGCCTCTTCTTCCAGCACGTCCAGCCATTTGAAGAATCTCATTGGTGGTTAAATTAATGCGTCCAGTTTCGCCCCTCTTGCTGAGTGATGAAATCACAGCTGTTCTTGCAGGCATGTTGATTCCAGCTGCAAGTGTTTCAGTGGCAAAAACGACTTTTACAAGTCCTTTTTGGAATAACTCTTCTATGAAAGATTTCCAAAGAGGTAAACAACCAGCATGGTGAGCAGCAACCCCACGAAGTATCCCTTTTACAGATGATTCCCTGACTGCATCAGGGTATTTGATTCTGAATCTTTTTAAAGCTAGGTCAACTTCTGCCATTTCACATTCGTCTAAAAGCTTGCAGTCTTCAAGATATTGAACTGCTACATCACAGCCTTTTCTGCTAAAGATAAACCAAACTGCAGGCAGCATGTCCCTTGTTTTAAGGTGCCATACTGTATCTATAACTTGGGGAACCTGAAATGTTTTTAGAAAATTATTCAAGATTGTGTTGATCGATCTTCAGGGTCATCCAGATACTTAAATAAGTGAATTTGTACTTGTGAACGACGAAGGTTGCTTCTGTCATTCTTTGAAGAAGATGATACATCTGACTCAAGTTTTCTTGAGTTCCTTCTTCTTGGTCTTTCGTCCTCATATGACTTGGCTCCCATGGAATTAAGTTGCAGGTAGTTGGCTGATAGTTTCCTATTCAAGATTTTCATAAAGTTCTCAATTGTCACATGTTGAAAACAATCATTAAAAAGAAAGAAAAAAAAGATTGCAGAGTTCAGTTAACCTATTCATGCTGGTTCCTGTCTCATTGAGAAGAGGAAGCAAAGCTGTTCTGGTAGAGAAATGCCATGTCAAAGGAACTGGACGTTTTGTTGAAGTTACAAGCTCTGTTTTTCCATGAATCTACAACCCACAAATTCAAGATTCAATAGACTAGTTTTGTAGTAATTGAGCCAAGAGAAGTTGATATACCTGATTGATCCAACCACATAATTCATCTGGATTTGCTACTGTTGCTGATAAGCATATAAGTTGAACTTCTTTTGGGCAATAAATGACCTATAAACATGTGCAGAAAAAACATGATTAAAATACACCCAATGGTTAGTTGGTGTTATCAAATTTAGGACAGGGAAAAGGAAACAACGCACTATCTCTTCCCAGACTGTACCCCGAGATATGTCACTTAGATAATGTACTTCATCTAAGACAATCACATCAACATGAAAAAGTCCACTTTCTGATGACATAATTCCAACACTGTAATGCATCCCAAAGGAAGGATATAAATATATAATATACACCAAATATTAGTAGTAAATGAAATGTATGAGCTATGAAGAACTTACCTCTGATATAACATGTTTCGGAGGATCTCAGTGGTCATAATTAGAACCTGAGCATCCCTGTTGATGGCAGAATCTCCGGTCAGAAGACCAACATTGTCTTCACCAAATGCATCACTGAAATAGCAAATGAATTATGGAGCAACTAACAAAAGGAATTGACTGTTATTAATTTTCTTAGATGTAGCAATGCTTGGTACCAAAACTCGCGGAATTTCTGATTAGACAGTGCCTTGAGAGGAGTAGTATAGAATAATCTTCTTCCTCTAGCTACCGTAGCAACAGCTGCAGCTTCAGCAATCAATGTTTTGCCTGCACTTGTGGGTGCAGAAACTACAACCGAAGAACCTCTCAGAAAAAGCTTGAATTGCTAACCGCTGCACAGTATTGGCACAAACAATGGTATTTTCGTCATCATAAAACTTCATTCCCAAGTAATTATCATACACTAATGCTAAATTTCGTAGTGTATAAACGTAAAAGCCACCTGAAATTTGTCAATTCGGAAGTTGTAAACGGAAGCAAGTTCATCAACATCAATGATTCCATCACCATACTCCCTCACGTCATTACGAATCCTCTCAATTCTTTGCCATTTGAATTCCTCAAACTGAGACTTGTTAACATCAACTTCCAAAACATTATTCTCGTCACTATCGACCTCACTTCCAATTTCCTGACCAAATTCGGCAACCACATCGTACTCCTCCGCTGCTTCCTCATCATCTTCGTCATCCTCATCGGTATCCTCCGACGCCTGAGACTCCCCTACTGAAAAATCTGACTTCGGGAACTTGTAATTACTTCGAAATTGATAAGTTTTTTGCTTGCGATTTTGAAATGAACTATGGAAACAGGTGTTTTGGGAGTGAATCGTGAATCTGAAGTAACGATGAAAAGCGCAGCGAGAAATTTCTAGTGTAGGGTTTAGAAGGGAAAATGGGGAGAGAATAACGGATGAAGAAGAGAGTGTGTTCATGGCGGGATGGAGATTAGGTTGTCATGTACGGTTGTGTATGAACATAACAGTTCTGTTCCGGGATGGTATTGTTGCGTCATACGGCAACGTTTCAAATTTTGAGTCTACACGGAACTTAAATATTGAGGCCCAAATTTTTTTTAACATTTCTTTTTAAAAATTGAATCTAACCATTTCAGAATTTAGATGTACGGATTATATTACACCAAAAACAGCCGGAGGGTTTGATATCCGTCTCACTCGGCTCAGTTAGACCTTTTATCTGACTCGGTCCATGACATGTGATTTGGCCCCCCAACATAATTATTCGGTCCTTTCTTTCACTTTCACGTATTTGTCATTTGTGCTCTAATCTTCCCTTCAATGTTGCCTTAACCACCACAACTCAACGCCGCCTTTTGCCTCCTCCACCTCTGAACAGGTATGAAATTTCTTCTCGATTTTTCTTGGTTTTGTTTTTGTTCTTCCTGGTCTAGAAAGTAGAATATGCATGTAGTTAAATTTTTTTGTTTGTACAAATCTAGAATTTGTATTCAATTTGTATTTGTTTGATTTTTGGTCCAGAAACTAGATATGGAGAAGTTGGAAAAATTGGATTGGAGAGAATTTGATCCAAGATACATCACTCTTTTGCTGCTATTCAGTGAGAGTACCGATATTATGAAAGTTTGGTTACACCTTAAGTCGTCGAGTTGTGAGTCGTGGGTGAAAAATACGGAAAGGAAGTTTAGATTATTCGAATGACTTGGATTTATTTATTTTTTTGCATGACTTGTAGTTGACTTTTCAAGTTACTTTTGGATTTCTTTTGGTTGAATTTTGTATGAATTTCATTGTGGATGGCCCCAAACTTTTTAATAAAAAATAGGTATAGTGGGTATTTTTGGAAGACAATTGACTTTTGCAAAGTCAAAACATAAAATCCATTATACACATTACACAATGAATGATTATATATTTGTACTAAAGAGCCTTCAACCAACAATGACAATATCAGATGTATTAGAAAGATATTCTTCAGTCAAATGGTTGAGTTTTAAGTCTCATGATGGGAGAAATAGACAGATTTAGGAATAGGTGTAAAGGACGTAAGTGTTAGCCACTCTAATTTTTTTTACGACATTTGATCAAAATGTGTGGTAACTCTCTTTTAACCCCTCCTGTCCCATTTTGGTTACTTGTATAGATAAGTAACCCTTTATTAATTTAAATTACAAATGCACAAATATGACGTGCTTGATACAAATGTGAAAATTTGAATGTGTAATTAGAGGCTCTTTACTATATATAATTTGTATAACAAAAGACATGTGAATAATCTTCTTTAAGACATTTTGAGTGAGAACCAAGCAATAATATGTGGTTTGAATAATTCTCAAATGCAAGCTATAATAAGATTTCTTTGAATTATATATCAATTGTAGTCTAATTAACCTACATGATGATTGTACAGCTTACAAATTCAATGTCTTTTACTTGTTATGCAGTATCGTCACAATTACAAATTTTTATTATTAATTTTATTTCTTTCTCTTCCTATTACAATTACAAAACACTAGAATTCTTTAATCTTGTCATGTTCCCATGGATTGAATCCTTGAGAACAAAAACTTAAGGAACTTCAATGCTTTAAGAGAATGAGCATTTGAAATTGAAAGATTACCATTACCAACTTCATGAGACACCATACGATTGTTATTGTTCACCCTTTTCCTTCCCTTTCGCACCAAAGAATCTGATGTACCCATAACATAGTACACCTGTCCCACACACACACACCATGCCCAAATGTCAAAAATACCCTTGTATTTGATGTACCATGAAAGTTGAGACATTTCACATGGTAAATACATGTTTGGATATTGGTAACTTTTATAATGATGGTAAAAAGGGTAAATATGTAAATTTTTTTAACCTTATATGTAAAGGCAGCTATCTTGAACTCAAGCCCATTGACTACATGAAAACCTTCCATGGCCTTTGCCATTGCTGAGTCATCATCTCCACACCCATTTTTTCTCTTGTTCCTGTAGATACATCAAGCAAAAACTTACAACATGTGCTTCAAGATAACTTTTTGTGCTAAATACAAGAAATAGCAATATTCTTTCCTTTTTTATTATTTGTCAATAATAACGGATTTTAATTAATAGCATGTGTTGTGTTAGGATCATATTACATAAACAAGCACATACCTCTTCAAGAAGATCCTGTGCCTCTTTCTCCTATGATCAACTGAAAGGAGTTGAGTGTTTAAATATGCTACAAAATTTGGGTCCATCAAAGAAGCCGGTGGTTCAGATTTTTCATATGCAAAGTTTATTATTTGTATAGTTAATCGGGTATGTCTATATGTCTCAGGGATAGATGACTGCAAAAAAAAAAATAATAATAACAAAAATAAAAAATTGTTAATCATAACTTCATAAGTACCAAAGTACGTTGCTATATTAGAAAACAGATGAACAACTACATCATACTCACACACTCAAACCGGAAGATCTTTGAGTCATTAACAATGACACTTGCATTTGCATTATAAAGTTCATCCACAAATCTCTCCCCTTTTCTCATATTTTCATAAGCATATAGATCAAGAAGCTTGTTATTAACCTCATCCGTTGCAATAGCTAGCAGCTGTCAAAGGCGTTGTCAATTTATAGCTCCAAGGGTAGATTTGGAAATACAAATTTATTTTGTAAAAAAAAAAATATGTTACCAATTTTGTAAGCTTGTCGATCAGTTTGTCTAATGTGAAGACAGGAAACGACCACGTGCCAAGAACAGCCCGACATTCATCTTCATATTTTGCACTGTCGATAGCACCATCAAGAAAACTATACAGTAGATCCAAGAATCTGTAAAATAAAAAAAAATAAAAATTAAAAAACTAACCAATGAGAAAATTGGGAAAAGAGAAAATAGATAATAAAACACCTAGCATATGAATCATTAGGTGTTGTATCATTTGAACCCCTCCATTTTTCAACTAGAGACTTTTCCTTTGCCTCCTCTAGCCTTGAGTACAATATCTGTTAATTAAGAATAGCAGATGAATAAGCAAATATGAAAATATGAAAAATAAAAATAAATAAATACAAGTAAGCAAGCTTTACTTGATGAAGTCTGAAGAAAACATAAAAGTCATCATTTCCGTAAAACACCCTCGACTTTTTTTCTTTACTTTGCAAAGTTTCAGGAACATGAAGCATAAGCGGTTTCACTCTTTTCAAAATATGTTCTGAAAAAGGACAGGTGTCGTCACCCAATGCATCCACCACACCATCACTCCCACCATTGTTACCATGGTCTACATACGGGGAGTGATCCTCCGCATCAGCGGATTCACTTCCTGAATCAAAAGCATTCTCACTATTATCATCTAATGACCTTCGGCTATTTCCCCTTTTAAAATCTCCATTTGGCGAAAATTCACCATTCTCTTTAACACCATTGTTGTTAATGTTATCATTAGCTCTCATGGAAGATCCACGATTGGTTGTTTTTGCTTGGTCAACTGTGGATGTTGACCGCGGAGGAACACCAAGCATAGGTTCAACAAAAGTAGTCCAGATCTTCACGGATTTATCCGTTTGTTCAGAGGAAGCACTTTGTGTGACAGAATATTTCATGAGTTGATATAAATCTTCATGGATGATTAAATCAGAGTACTTAAATTCTTGATGTGGAATATTGTTTTGTTTTTTTCCAGGAGCAATGGATTGAAGGATGTGATCATCTACAGACTTTTCTTCACTTGTTTCCTTAATTTCAGCCAATAAAGCTGCAATATCCAATATCCAATATCCAATATCAAAAAAACAAACATCAATCAATCAATCAATCATGGTTTTATTTAGGATCATTGTTTTTAGTACCTTTAGCACTCAAGCTCTTTGAATCTTGTTGTTTGAAATAAAAGCTGCGATGATCAAGTGATTTATGATAATTTTTAGCATAAATTTCAGCCCAAACTTTTTTAGTATCAGATCGACACCTCAGCCATTCTTCTTGCTTCTGTTTCAAACGATGTAATATAACTGGTAAAGCAAGGGATGCATTCTTTCTTAATACATCCATCACATCAAGTCCATGATCACCATATAAACGCCCAATGCATCTCAGATTTATAGCTGTAAAGTCTTCTATATGAACCACATTCTCTGTCTTCCTAATCGAATTATCATTAATCCTATCCAATAGTTCTTCCACACGTTTTGCTGTTACATTCACTGATTCTAATAACATGTCCAGTTCAAATCTGATGAAGAAGGAAATCATTATCATTATACACATGTAAAATCATTCAAGACCAAAAGGGTAAAAGGGTAAAGATGATATGCCAATGCCACCTGTCATCTTCACATCGAAATAAGCTTTCTTCATATTGGTTTTTACGCATGTGTTTGAAAGAATAATCTTCGCTTCCGGAAGTAACAGACACCCAATGATCATTCAACACCTCATAACCGATCTTTGTTCTTTGGCTTGCTGAAGGAATTGGGTACTGTATCAAGCAACACACACTGTCAAATTTATATAAATTTAAAAAAAAAAAAAAAAAAAAAGTGTTTTGATATATAAATATTAAATCATACGTTTTTTGGTAGAAGGCGATAACTTGGAGTGCAGCATTCACAGTCAGAAAGGTCAAGTTCTTGAATTGATTTTGTTAGATACTTCTCCTTGATGGCTGAACTATTCTTTTCCATTTCATCTCCATCAGAATTTCCATCTTTACCCCCATCATTACCCTTTATTACTCCAGGTAAATGTCCATCACTCCATAAAGATCCTGTCAAAGTCATGCTAGAGAGTCACGAAAAAAAAAACAATTTAACATCCTACATTACTGAGGAAATAACATAGAGGGGCATTTAGGTAAAATCGTCATTGGGATTAGGATATATGTAGTTATATGTAAACTTACTCATGGGGAACAGCTATCTGCATATATATACATTAATAGATGAAGAGTTTATTAACTTGCAGATGAAAATAGATTCTTGTTAGGCATGTAAATAAGAACTTATGTGTACAATTACTTGTCTTTTCACTGCGATCTATAAACTCATTGACTTCTTCCACAAGATCCGGATATGCTCCAAGCAAACTATTTACCTAACAAAAATAAAAACTTCTTTAATTTATCAAATTAAATCTAAGGATGCCACACAAAAAGTCATCTAGAAGTTTTATGGATACACAGACAACGAAAGCAGATAACTAGCAATAAAGCAGGAAGCAAATACTAGAAACAACAAAGTATAAATCTTTAAAAATAATGTGTATTGTGTGTATAAGTTTACCCTTGATTGCAGTTGTGGGCGAGTAATACTCTCTGTGCAATACTCTGCAATGCACTTCAAGAATGACTGGTAATCATCTGAGTTGCTCAATCTTTCCTTCACCTTCTCACGAAGACAAAGCATTTGGCCATGTACATCTTCCATCATACAAAGATTCAATAAAAATGAAAATACAATACATTTATAACAAAATTCAGATTCTATCTAATGTCATCATCAAATCAAATATTTGAATAATGGGACTAGTAGATACCTTGATGAAAGAGTTCAGCTACAGAGTCTTCAAGAGTACGTGGGGGTTTATTTTGGGTAAAATGATGTGTCACATCACAATCTTTATCATCTTGATCGTGTTCTCTTTGTTCTGTGTCTTCTGATGTGTCTTTTTGTTTTTCACCATGTGCCCTATTCTCTTTAACAGAAATAGTACATGCTTTTTCATGATCTGGATCAGGCTGGTCAACGTTGACTTTGCATTCAGTATGAGAAGAAACAGGTAAGAAATTGGTGAACTCCTTTAGAAGGTCTTGTTGATCATTAAGAAGAGCAGCAACCTGAAAGATGATAACAATGGAACTTATAAATCAAGAACTACAGAAGTATGTTAAGATTTATGAACCAAATATTGTAAGAGTCTTAATGAGAAACCTCTTGGTGAACTTCCTTGATGGATTTGTTTTCTTTTTTATACTTATTCAAAGTATCAAGAAAATATTTGTACACATGGTCTTGACCTTGAAATCTCATCTGCATGAGAATATCTTGTTAGAATATAAGTGTCAGATGGAAACATTAATTGAAACTATGCTGTCATTACCTTAATTTTGTTTACAAATAGAATGGCTTCTTCAATCTCCAAAGGCTTCTTAACATGGTGTTGTTCATCATCTAGTGGGAGGGTGATCTGAAATCCCTTTGGAAGAAAGGGATTGAAACCCAAAAGTAGGTCCTGGTGCCCTTTGAACAATTCCTTCACCCGTGCTATGACACCTGTGGTGTCAATTCTAAGGGAAATATAGTGATTATAATCAAGGACATGCTTTTACATAAACATGGCATGAAAATTGAAAGAAGCAACACCTTAGCCAAACCTTTGGGTCTTGAAATCTTTCATGACTTTAAGAAACTCTTCATATTTTTCCTTTTCATTTTGGAATATATCTTTAACTTTCTCTAGATATGTTAGGGCATCATTAGTCGTCAATTTATGAGTGCTGCCTTTGTGCTTGGATCTTCAACAATAAAAGCCAACACATCAACCTCATAATCACACAATTCTTCCCAACAATATAAGTATATTCTAAAGGCTTACTGTTCAGAAATCAATGGCCGCTTGAACTGAGGGCTGCTGTAAGCATCATCGTCATCTCTAGACCGCTTCATCCCTTCAAAACCCAAACAATTTAAACTTTCCAATACTTTAAACCCCCGATGAACAACCAAAACGAACATTCAAAATTGAACAAGAGCTACTTCACACAATTCATACCTGTAAACAGATCACCGTCAACCATTCCTGGTTTCTGAGTAACAAAATTTAGCAATTGAGTATAAATGTGAACAGAAGTACCTAACAATGCGACAACACAAATTCAAATTGGAGAAATTTACTCTTGGAAAGCCGTAAGATCTTCTCGTTCTTCAAGTTTACTTCAAATTCACAAAATTCGCCATCGAAGTTTCCAAAAAATAAATATGCATATACCACTATCTATATGTGTTTGCATCAAACCATATAATCCGTTTCCAATTAACAAAGTGTATCTATGAATTCAGAAATACAATTTAGAGTCGAGATATAGATACAGTTTTGTGTATGTATAGGCTATTTATAAATATTTTATGTGTGTATATATTACACACACTGTGTGTGTGAGATGCAGAAAAAGGAGAGAAGAGACCAAAGGGTAGCGGTGGTCATTTTGACGTCTTTATTTTCAATGATCCGGATGACGGGTAACCGGTGTAGCCGGTAACTTTGTTTTATATGTAAAGAGCTGCTAGGGCAAAAGAGGGAAGCGAAGGTAAAATTGTCCAGGAAAAAGCAAACGGAGATAACGCCGTTTAGCATATGAGTTCAGGGTTGATGAATTTTCCAAGTTAGGTACGGTATAAGTCGATATTTTAAACATTTAAGGAAGGTTTGGTTCGTTAGAAAACAACGTTTGGAGTATTTGATCATATTCCTATCTTGTTTTCTTTTTACAGAAATGAATTTTATCGAATGTATGGATTACATTATGATGGAATTTAAGATGGTAATTTATCCATATAATTTGCTTATAAAGATGGAATTGTCAAAAAGATGGGAATATAATTTAAGAGAATGATTTATCCGTATAATTTGCTTATAAAATGGAATACTCAAAAAGATAGTAATTATTATTGTTTTTGTCAAAAATCGATCAAAAAGATATCAACCAAATTGTATAAGAGACTGTGGTGTTGTTTCGATTTTGTATATTGGATTGAAATCAAAATGACACAGGTGATTTACAAGGAAAACTCTTTATCATTGCTAGGATCTTCAACATAAAACCGTAGGGAGTAAATTACACGAATGGTTCCTATGGTTTACGGTAATTTACGCATTTGGTCCCTAACTTATTTTTTTAACTCGGAATGTCCCTATTGTTTGTTTTTGTTACGCGCTTGGTCCCTGTCTTACCTAAAAAGACTATTTTACCCTTGATTTTTTAATTTATTTAAATAAACACACCCTCAACCTCACCCCCTTCACTTTACCTTACCTGACCCACCATTTTTTCCTATTTAAATAATAGTCTTTTTAGGTAAGACAGAGACCAAACGCGTAACAAAAACAAACAGTAGGGACCAAACGCGTAACAGAAACAAACAGTAGGGACCTTCCGAGTTAAAAAAATAAGTTAGGGACAAGCGCGCAAATTACACCAAACCATAGAGACCATTCGTGTAATTTACTCAACTTTGGGAGGTGATAATGATCACATGTTTTGTTTGATTTTATTAATAAAAAAGAAAGCTACATAAGTAAGTTTGAAAATACAGGTATAGATGATTCAGTAAGTCTAAGTTGACTAAGTTGTGTCGTGCGATTTTTACAAGTGTATGTGTGTGTGTGTGTATATATATATATATATATATATATATATATATATATATATATATATATATATATATAGTCTAGGCCAAGTAACTAAAAATCTGATATTCCCGGAATCCTGTTGAATTAGTATTTGCACGTTGTCTTGACTTGGTATTTCCGGATCTTAAGTCTGATTGAAAAGATTCTTCAGAGTTGATAAGTCTTTTAAAAAAATGTTTGGATTAGCTTATACGATGTCAAAACGCTATAAGTTGATAATTATTTTTTAGTGTTTGGCAAAATGACCAATAAAAAGTTTCCCGGAGATGCAGAACATCTATAAGTTATAAAGAATTTTAATAAGTTAGGGGTCGGTGGCTTATCAAAAAAAATTATCTTCGGTTCCACACCATTATAAGTTATTTTTAAAAATTTGTTTATCCAAACACTAACTTTAACATATCTCGGTATAATACCGATAATAAGTTAAAATACTTTTTTGAGCTTAGCCAATCACCCTCATAGAATAGAGACATAAGTCATAGTGTCACGCTGATGTGTGTGTGTGTGTGTGTGTGTATATATATATATATATATATATATATATATATATATATATTGTCTAGGCCAAGTAACTAAAAGTCTGATATTCTCGGAATCCTGTTGAATTAGTATTTGCATGTTGTCTTGACTTGGTATTTCCGGGTCTTAAGTCTGATTGAAAAGATTCTTCAGAGTTGATAAGTCTTTTAAAAAAATGTTTGGATTAGCTTATACGATGTCAAAACGCTATAAGCTGATAATTATTTTTTAGTGTTTGGCAAAATGACCAATAAAAAGTTTCCCGGAGATGCAGAACATCTATAAGTTATAAAGAATTTTAATAAGTTAGGGGTCGGTGGCTTATCAAAAAAAAAATTATCTTCGGTTCCACACCATTATAAGTTATTTTTAAAAATTTGTTTATCCAAACACTAACTTTAACATATCTCGTTATAAAAACGATAATAAGTTAAAATACTTTTTTAAGCTTAGCCAATCACCCTCATAGAATAAAGACATAAGTCATAGCGTCAAGCCGATGTGTGTGTGTGTATATATATATATATATATATATATATATATATATATATATATATATATATATATATATATATATATATTGTCTAGGCCAAGTAACTAAAAGTCTGATATTCCCGGAATCCTGTTGAATTAGTATTTGCACGTTGTCTTGACTTGGTATTTCCGGGTCTTAAGTCTGATTGAAAAGATTCTTCAGAGTTGATAAGTCTTTTAAAAAAAATGTTTGGATTAGCTTATACGATGTCAAAACGCTATAAGCTGATAATTATTTTTTAGTGTTTGGCAAAAATGACCAATAAAAAGTTTCCCGGAGATGCAGAACATCTATAAGTTATAAAGAATTTTAATAAGTTAGGGGTCGGTGGCTTATCAAAAAAAATTATCTTCGGTTCCACACCATTTTAAGTTATTTTTAAAAATTTGTTTATCCAAACACTAATTTTAACATATCTCGGTATAAAACCGATAATAAGTTAAAATACTTTTTTGAGCTTAGCCAATCACCCTCATAGAATAGAGACATAAGTCATAGTGTCACGCCGATGTGAGATACATTAATAATCTCTCTCAGAGATAGATCAATGAGGTCCGGCAATGATGTGTTAAGTTTATTTAAAGAACTCAAAAAACTTACATATAAATAAACGGGCAATGTTGGTGTATCTCGCATTGGTGCAATACGGTCTAATAAATGTCTATATATATTAGAGTTTCTTTTCTCTCCACAATGGCTTTTTCGGAGAGACAGTATTGGGCTCCACTTATATTCACATGGTATCAGAGTCGACGTCCCGCGTCCTCATGGTTCAACACATCCCTGTTTATCCTCATTAAGTCTCCGACTTTCAGCGAAGGTGTTAGTATATCTCAAATCAGTGTGACACGGTCCAATAAGTGTGTGTGTGTGTGTATATATATATATATATATATATGGGAAAAGGGAATATACATTACAGCCCCACCTAAGCTTAGGTACTAAACCTTTTGAAAATACATTGTTTTACTATATAAAGATTATGGTTAATGGATTCACGATTAATACTTCAAGATGTAAATTCAAGATCGACACAATAGGGTTTAGGGTTTAGGGTTTAGGGTTAGGGTTTAAGGTTTAGGGTTTAGGGTTTAGATTTAGGGTTTAGGGTTTAGGTTTAAGGTTTAGGGGTTTAGGGTTTAAATTTAGGGTTTAGGGTTTAGGTTTAGGGTTTAGTAATGTTCACTTGGGTGAAGTAATAAACGATAATTGAGAAAAGAAAACAGAGATGGTAAAACGATAATGAAAGAAAGAAATGTTATGGAGGATGATATATTTACCAAGTGAAACCAAACCGGGTATATTTAGCATGTTAAAACGACATATTTTAGAGGTTTAGTACCTAAGCTTAGGTGGGGCTATAATGTATATTCCCTATCCCCTATATATATATATATATATATATATATATATATATATATATATATATATATATATATAGGGAAATGATAAAATGAGAACACCTAAAAGGTTGAGAACGCGAGAACAAGTATATTCATTTGTGATTCCATGTATTTATTTGTGGAGAAATGATAAATTTTTACGCACAATCAACATGAATATGTTTTTTCTCTTCAATTGAAATTAAAGGCGTAAAAAATTATCATTTCTCCACAAATGAATACATGGAATCGCAAATGAATATACTTTGTTCTCGCGTTCTCAACCTTTTTGGTGTTTCATTTGATCCTACTCCTATATATATATATATATATATATATATATATATATATATATATATATATATATATATATATATATATATATATATATATTCTTAATAAAAGAGTATTTTGCATTCCGCGTGTCCCTCTTTTGCACCTCCAACTTGCCACGTACCCTTACCAGGGATCTCTTATGAGTCATTTTCCCGCCCATTCTTTGCACCACAAAAACGAATACAACATCTCCTATAAATCAACTCACACATATGAAATCTGTAATCAATGTTGAATCCCTATACTTCAGCTGCCGAATTTGGTGCAATAAGCTATCAAAATATCTTCAACCGATTATTCAAGGTAATCACAATAAATCAGGGAACCGATTATTCAAGGTAATCACAATAAATCAGGAAGTCTTCGTCAAATTTGAATCGGATAGGCTACTCCTTTTGTCGACTTCATATATACATTGAATCGGACAAACGTCACCACCACCAATATGAGTCGCTACTGCCTAAACATCATCAGACACCACCGCACCACCATCTCATGATGCCCTTAAGAAACCCTAGGTTTCTGGTCCAATTTTTTGATAGGGCGCAATACATTGATGGACTCCTCTTCAAGATTGAGATGGAGCAAGATGTCGGTTAAATCTTCTTCACTGCTCGATTTTTCTCTGTGGATGAATGGATACAGGTTTGTGGTTTTCTTGCTATATCTCCCTAAAGGATAAAGCTTTCTTATATTTTTTATGGCTGTTGTTTTGTCCTGATGTTGTTTGTCTCATGGCTGCCGTTTTGCTAAGTTTTCAATCACTTTGACCATTTTACCCCTATTTGGTTGTTCTTGGTGTGGTGTTTGATTGGTATCTGGCTACCACTTTTCCATCACCATTTCCTCTAGATTCCAACTTTTTAGGACACTATGCTTCCAGTTTTCAAGGTTTGGTCATATGTGTTTGAACTTTGAAGTCAAAGTTGTATGTGTATGTATGTGTCTTTAGTTGCTGTAAATTAAAAAAATCAAAGCGTTTATTCTTCTTGCATACAATCTTGATTTCTAATGTTAGTATCTTAATTCACGTTTTCTGGTAATTAGGATGTCGACATCTTTTCATCTTCATAAATAATCCATACCTATTGTTTTATTTTTTTGGAAATTTTGTCTTAACGGTTGGAAACTTGAGATGTGATTTGATTTAGCCACTTACGAGGTTGAAA